TTTCATTCTTCCATTTCAAAAATCAATTCTCTTATTTTCCAAGTTAACATACTCCACCATTTATCCCAATCCATTCTTTTCATTTCACAAAAACTAATTCCGTGGATATCAAAGCCATAACCCAACTCAATTTAATATGTTCAATCCAAAATAATTCCAATGCCATAGTTAATTCTCCCTTTTAGCTATTAACACATTTACACAACCCATAATAATAATTTATAAACATTATTTAACTTTACCCATTTTTAATTCACCAAGTCAAAACATTAAATTGGGGCTTTTTCTTCTTTCAACATAAACATGCTAGATTACTCCCCAATTAACCCAAACAACAATCAATTTAACAATCTCATTCCCAAATATCAAACCCTAGGTTCCCTTTCATGACTTTCAAAGAAATCCATAATGGATATGATTTTAATGCAATACAAATCTACCACATATCTATCCATTGATGAGGTATTGAAAAGGAACAAGGAAATCCCTACCTCAAGATTTAAAACTCAAGATTTGAAGCTAAAGATGAAGACCCAACTTGCAATTCCAATAAAATCGCAAAACAATCGGTAGAAGTCTTGATCTATGCTTGCTCTTCAACATTCTTGAAAGATTTGGGGTGAATCTTTGGTAAATAGAAGAGAAATCAAGAGTTTGAAAGGTTAAGGTTTCGTTTTGGAGCATGAAAGGAGAAGAAAGGGAGAAAAAATAGAGTTTTAGGGCCAAAAAATCACTTTATAATGTCTGTTAGCTATGTGGTCGCTCGAGTGAAGAAAGCTTGGCTCGAGCATACAAAAGAAGCTCTCAGAATTTCTGAAACTCGCATAGTTCGCCCGAGCGAAGAAAATCTCACTCAAGTGAGTATGCTTCCAGCACAGAAATGCAAAATTCAAACAGGTATAACTCTCTCGTCTAGACTCCGTGTAGAGTCGTTCTTGTGTCCAAATTGAAGCCTCGGAAGTAAGCTTTCCAATAGTTCTAGCCTCACATCAAGATTCAAAGTATGGAGAGAGAAAATGATGAAAGAGTGAAAACTACTCAATAACAATTATTCGAATTTGGAATTTTTGATTCAATCTCACCCAACCACTATGGTAACACCTTAACCAAGGCTCAAATATCAACTAAAACGATTCTCAATCAAGATAATCAAAGAGTCAAATATAGTTCTATTATAACAAGGGGCATAGAGTGCTATAACCTCCCCACATTAGAATATTTCGTCCTCGAAATTAAGAATACACCAAAACACAAGGCAAACTGACCACAGAACACTCAACACCCGAGCACTTAGGAAAAGAAAACTATGCTCACAACAAAACCCTCGGTTAAGTCTCACAAAAGAAGAGCACTTACCACAAAAACACGTCCTAAAAGACAACGCTCTGGCACAATAAGCTCCAACAATACCAAACCCTCACTACTACAAAAATAGTTAAAGATCACACTTTGACAAAAAAAAAAAAAAATCTCACTTATATTGAAAGTGTGATAAAAAAAATTAGATTGATATTTTAATCATACTTAATTTGATTGAGTGTGATAATATTTATATTTTATGTCACTTTTCAATTAAGTGTGATTATATATACATTTTTTTAATCACACCTTCTCATTAAAGTGTGATTACATATACACTATTACTTTTTAATCACACTTTTAAAATAAGTGTGATTATATATATATATATATATATATTTTAATCACACATTCTAATTAAAGTGTGATTATTTATATTTTTTAATCACACATTCTAATTAAAGTGTGATTATATATACACTACTACTTTTTAATCACACTTTGTAAATGAGTGTGATTAGATCACACTTTAACAAATGAAAATATCTCACTTTTATTAGAAATATGATAAAAAAAATTATATTGATATTTTAATCACACTTGATTTGATTAAGTGTGATACTATTTATTTTTTATGTCACTTTTCAATTAAATGTGATTGTATTTATATTTTTTAATCACACCTTCTAATTAACATGTGATTAAAGATCACATAAAAAGAAATAAAAATATCTCACTTTTATTAGAAATGTGATTAAAAAAATTAAAATGATTTTTTAATCACACTTAATTTAATGAGTGAGATAATATTTTTTTAATCATACATTTTAAATAAGTGTGATTATATATATTTATTTTCATCGTAGTTTCAGGTGTGGTTATATATAATTTTTCAATTTAATTTTTATATTAAATAATTATTCCCATATTGTATATAAGCTCATAAAATTGTTTTGGTAGAGAGAGAAAGAGCTGGGCAATTTCTTTCTAGGGTTTCTTGTGGCTCTCCATCTCGCCTCTGCCGCCAATGGCCATTGATCAACGCGTCTCTCCATCTCCCCTCTTGCTCCTCCTCCTTTCCTTGCTAATCGGCGCTGCCGCTGCTCTTGCTAGTCGCCGCCGTTGGCCTTTCCAGCGCTGCTTCTCTCTCTCTGGTTTATGTTTTCTAATTCACTGTAAGTTCTTCAATTCCTTCCCCAACCCCATGAACTTTTGATATGCTAGTTGACCTTAACCAGTGCACTGCACTCTTTGTAACCAATGAACCATTTAGTTTTCACAAATAGTCAACTCTCTTTCTTTCCATCCTTCCCCAAGTATTTATTCCCTTCAATTTTCTTCATATTTATTTGCTTTAGATTGCTTGAGATTTGTTTAAATTGCCCAATTTTTTTTTAAAAAAAAATTGCTTGATTACTTATGTTAATTGCTTCAGATTTGTTGATTTATAGCATAATTTATGTTGAAATTTCTGTTCAAAATTGGTGAAACAATTTCTGTTTTTAAAAAAATAATTATTTTAAACAATCTGTTTCTGTAAACAAATTGTTTAAGGAGATTGAAGGAAGACCAATCTTACACTGCCTAGCTTGTAATTCTGTATTTATTGGTGAAACTCTGTGTGGCAGATGAGCATAATATGGTATCACCCAATACATTTCTACCATTCTTTAAACAAAACAAAATAAAATAATAATGATATTAGGCATTTATAATAAGATCACAAACTGTAAGGGAAATGGATAAGTTTGCACATGTTAACTTCTTATGAGCAACCAATAACTTTGGTCATGCTTGGATTTTCTGTGGTAGCCCAACTGTGTTGCTAATTCAACATGCCTCTTAACATATTTTAATTTGATGTTAATTATATTATAAGCCAACCAATAAATTGCATAATTAAACTATAATTTTTATGATAATAATTTTGTGAAATTGCATATTATAAGCCAACCAACGCACAACACTTTGTTATGATTAGCTTGCTTTCTTTTCATTGTCAGGTGAAAATAATGATTCCCTGCATAGTTCTTGCTGGCCCTATTGGTCTTGGTTTTGGATATATGAGGCAAGTACTATATGCTGTAATTGCATTTTGATTTGTTAATAATTTTGGCGGTTATGCGATTCTTGTGCAAAGATCTTAGAACCAAGTTTAATCCATGCTCTCAGTGCAGAAGGAAATAACATCCTTCCCTCTGTTAGCCTTATTTTCTCTAGCATGCTCATTATTGCTGGTGTGAGTTATCCTCCAACATTTTTGGCTACTCACTATTTGACCTTCCAAATTCTTATTTTAAATCTGAAAAACGATCTTAGTAGATAGAGAATCTTGTTGTGTTAACACTCAAGAATGTGAATGTAACTACTATCTAATCATTATTACAGTGCTTTACATATGCTTTTGCAAGGCAATTAAATGCTTTCCAGACTGGTGATATGTTATTTGCCATGTAAGAGACTCTGTTTAAATGCTGTATATAGTTGCAAACTGTGTTCATGTTAATGTTTACTGCTTTTTTTAGGTGGAATTCTTATATCTTGTTGAGCTTCGCTTGGTGTTTTTCTACAGTGGGTTATCCAGGTTCTTTTCATTATCTTCTTTCTGTTATAGTGTTACATTATTCTTGTTCTGTATTGTGAATGGACATGTCATGTGTGCTTTCAGGTCATAGTGCTTTGGAGAGGAGACTATTGTATGATTTCGTTATCATGGATGAGCATTTTAAAGGACAAAGATGTGCATGCGGTTACTTTCTAACACCTTCTAGATATTAGGCATTTATATTGTTGTGAAGTTGATAGCATGCTTATTAAATCTAGTGATGATTACTGAACATACTCTGGATTCTGATTATTGTCTCCAACATCATCTTCTTTTCTTTTGTTCAGTTCTTCTCCCTGCTGCTACTCGCAACAATCAATCTGGCCTTTGTACACATTGCCTCTTGATCTTTGTTTTTCATCTCTTATTCTTGGTGCTACTGCTGGTCTCTCATGTAAGTAATTGTTGCTAGCTACTTTTACTGGTGCAAGTGTCATTTTGGACTTTAGTTTGTAAGTTAGCTTTAGACATACTTCTATTGTGTCCGCTACTTTTGATTTTGGTGTAATGTTGTAATTTTTTTTTTTCAATGTGACATTTTCTGAATTAAACAGAAAAAAAAGCAAGATATAATACACAATTCATATACAATTTGACAACTATTCTTTAGTAATTCACATATAATTTGATGCAAAGCTAAAAGGATATGTAGTGCATATGAATTATTTTTTTGGGAGAATGGTAACACAGACAGGTGTATAGAATAGAAGTATGGAGCACATCATCATTCTGTTCTAATGAACTTTATACATTGAAACTTATATTACATTGTGCATTATTATCTGAGTGTATGGTTCAGATTTTGCACCAATATTATGTATACCAATTGGAACCTCGATTGTCCAATGTGCTGAGATGGAACTTGTTCTTCATTGTTGCTGTGTGTTCTTTCTGAATCAAATATTTAGTATGGTATGATGTCACAATAGATATACTTACGATATCTTCCTAAAAAAGTGATAAAGTATGATCCATGTGTATGACTATCCTTCATAGCAATCTTTAGGGTAAATTACAACGGCACCCCCTCTATTTGTTTGAAATCACACTATCACCCCCCTTGTTCCTTGAAATCAACACAAGTCAAATCTATTTAGTTAAAATGTCAAATGACTTTTATACCCTCATATGCCTTGGTAAACATTTCACCTAATCTATCCATAAATACGACCATGTTTGTTTTGTTTCTTTTTTTCAAATAAAAAAAAATTCAATTTTTTTTTTTTTGAAAATGTAGAAACTAATTTAATAAAAATAAATATCAACATATATTTAAAAAAATATTTATGGCCTCCCAAACATAAAATTATATAAAAATGGTTAGTCTTTGTGTTGACATTAATGTTTCAAAAATGGATGTTCAAAAACTTTATTGATGTTAATTTATTCAGTGTTGATCTCATGTTCTTTAATGGTTTTGTCTGAAATAGACAGGGAATCTGCTGCGCATTGCCATTTTTAACATTAGTTACATAAGAGGCCTTTTTCTTGAGAAATATTTCAATGATAAGTCTGTTCCTGCCTTAAGGTGAGTTTGTCATCATCAGATTTACTTCAAGTTTTCTATGAAATTTAAGTTCTCATTGGTGAACATATTTGAACAATCATGAAATTATGAACAGAGATGAAGATCAAGAAGCTTACACCAATGGATGCAAAGCTTTGCAGACTAATTGATTGGATGGAGAAAGGCATGTAGATTTTGCTGATATGATACTTTTGTACACTCAAATGTTCTTACACTGTTTATGATGCATTACAGAAGAAATACCTAAGGACACTGTTGTTCTGTGTTTGTAAAGGAGTGGAAGGTTCAATGATTGAGGAATATGCATGTAAGATTTTAAGAATAGCCTATCCCTTGGAACTATCAATGATTGCCAAGAAAATATGCAGAAGTAACTGTTAATGACTCTGCACTATGGCAATGCCTGAGCCAATCTTTTAGTATATGTAGATTTCTTTCGATGCATTATTAGAATTAGTAAATAAATTTATATTTCTTCTGTTGCGGTTACTTTCAGTTACTCTAATTCTGAAAGCCAAGAGGTTTCAATGAAGATCAATTGCACTGTGATTGATGATGCCACTGGTGCTAGAAAGGTCTATACACCTTATCATTTTTATATAATTTCTCTTTCATGTTTCTAAGAATCTAATATATATGTTCAGCTTCTTTGTGAATGTCTACACTAGCAGTGGTAGTTGACTTATTTTCTTTTTTTAGATTCTTCTGGATTTCTGACATGTCCTGATAATTTTAAGTACACTAGTTTGTTGTGCAAACATTTTAACAATTATCCATGTAGTATAATACTTTGTTTTCTTTCTCTCTCATGCCAGTTTTTTTTTCTTGATTTTTCATAGTTTTTCTCTTTCTTCTGTCCTTCATTTATTTTCTATTCAAGCCTGACCAAAAGAAATGTCATATTTGTTTCACATTATTAAATTAGCAGACATTCACTGATGTAAATGTTGTTGAGTGTGGATTAGACAGCTATAGCCGCATCTGGTGCATTTGTTTTCTTAGATTTCTTGCTAACTGCTTGTTTAAGCTTATTAATTTTGAAGTTTATAATTTGGCATGTATGGTCTAATGTACAGGTATTTAGTGATGTTGTGGTACAACTCTTCTTCTTCTTTTATTATTGTTATTATTATTATTATTATTATTTTAACATCTCTGATTACATTCCTCATACAGTTATAGCCTTATAACTCCTCTTTTTTTCTTTTTTCTTTTTTCCTTCTGCAATGATGCTAAAACATGTCTTGTTTCTCATATTTTTAGATGAATTATAAGGACTTTTGCCACATTGCCTATTTGTGTACAGAACAAATAGGCCCTAAATGTCGACACTTTTTAGTTCGTCAAACTTCATGAAGTTTGAGAAAGATGAGTCAGGAAGAATTGCCATCCTGCCATTTTTCCTTTATGTCATGCGTGCGGTGGGTCTTGCTTTTCTATGCATAACAATGTCTTGTTTTCTGTACGTGTCTAACATGTGTAATTAGATATTCACCCATAAAGTGTATTAAGTAATTTGAGTTAATAAGGCCTGTTAATACCAAGGTGCCTAATTATTGCAAAAAATTATTATTGTAATTTTTTCTTTGATAAGTAACAACAGTAAAATGAGTAACACAAGTATATAGGAAAATAGAACTTAACCACCACCACCACCACTAACAGCATAAACTTCATATGCAAAAGAAAGGATTTAGAACAATAAATAAACAAAGAGTGACTGGTGTGAACTTCAACATAAAGACAACATGCAACATAGCATACAAATTTTATCGTTTTACATGTAGTTGGTGACATTAACAGCTGTCATTAAGCCACTTTGTTCTGAATTGATTCCCAAGGGTGTGTGCTTTGCTCTGAAACTTGATTGATTTTAGGATTTGATTGTGTGTTGTTTATTCGAAGAAGAAAAATAGAAAATGAATAAGAGAGCATGATCCTTCTTGTAAAAAAATATCTCTGATAAATTACAACATTAATAAGTTGCCCATTAGTTCCAAATATTTTTTATATTATTGGCTTTACTTATAGAATATTGAAATATAGAAGTTGGAGAAAAGATGAGAGCATCTGCAATGAAGTGGCTAAAAATGTGTTTTATTGAGAATCTGTTTGATGTGGTTGTGATTCATGTGATGATTGTCAACACGTATACTATGCTCCTTGTGGCAGGTTCTGATGAACTTAACAAATGACAACCCTGTGTGCTGTCAGCAAATTGCTGCCTGTGGAGGACGGGGGAAACCTTGTCTTCATTGATTGCTGGCCACTTTCCATCATTCAGTTCATCTTTGCCTCCCTTCAGCGATATAAGAAATGATACCTTGTTGTCCAAGCCTTAAGACATTTGAAAGGGTGTGATCGGTCGTTGAATTTAGTTCAAACAATCACACAACCCAAAACCCTAACTCATATATGTTACAAATCTTCAAATTCCTTCTTGATTCCAAACAAAAGATGAGTTATCACAAGGATTCTAGAGGGATTTTGATACCTTAACTCAAATCTTGAGTTTTGCCCTTGAATCTAGCAATCTCCCTTGTTTCTCTTCTTCAACTCTAGGAGCTCTCTTCTTCCTCTCTCTCTCTAATGAGCCCAAACCGCTTTCATGCAGCGCTCTATTTTATGAAAAATGAGCAGTCTGGGCTCATTTCATTAGCAAAAATTACACTCATGCGGCTATGAGCTCTGCATGAGCAGAACATGAACCAAAACAGGAGAGCACATTCTGCTGCTCAAGCGGCCAACCCTTCCACACAAGTAGAACCTGACCGCAAGAGCAGTGAGGCCTGTCGCAAAAACGGGCAGTAGGGGAAAATTATGCTTCTCTTTTGTTGACCTCTCTGACCTTTTGAATGCATTCTTGACCTTATTTAAGAAGTCCGGAAAATGAAATAATGATTAGAAACTCATTGAAAAAGGATGTGAATTATTAAAAGAAAAGTGTATGAAATGGAATGAATTATTTATCGAATGTATATGTGTGAAATGTTGTGTAGGTCGAGTGCCGGAGGGAACGCCGCAAGACCAAACGCACTGTGAGTAATAGTATTGTAAAGATATGTTCTTAATTAATTATTTTGATCCATGAACGGTTATTTATTTTGGAATTGTGTTTTGATGGAAATGAATGAGTTTTGTGAATGTTATATGACATTTGCAATATGGACCTAAGGTCGTTCTGTTTATACCATGATGTGCTTGGGCCCAAGGGCGTTCTATTAATGATTTGATAATATATGATTGGACCTGAGGCCGTTCTAAATAGTTGTTAATGTGTGGGCCCGAGGCCATTCTGTGATATGTGTTCAGTTGTTTGGGCCCGAGGCTGTTCTGTAATATCAATGGACCCAAGGTCTTTCCATAATTATGATCATGAAAAAGTTACAAAATTATGATGTTATACTTACTTTGATAATAGGCTCATTCGTTTGAACCTCTTTACTATATTATTACTCATTGAGCTTCGCTCACTCTATATTATGTATGTATATGTAGGTGATCAACATGTTGATGTTCAACATGGAGCCCAATCTTAGAGTCTGCTTCAGGAATTGTTTTTGTGAACCCGATCAGTTGAGTCTCCGTGACAGAGCTTTTGTCTTTTGGTTTATATCATGTTATGACTTTTATTTGATTTTTCTATGATGGTTTCGGATATGTAAACTTTAAGTGTGGAGTTTTCTATTGTACATAAGTTTTGCATGGATATTTAGATATGTGAATGTGTTGTGACAAAAGCAAAGTATATTTTTGATCATATTGGCTTAGCTCAATGGATTTCATCATTGTTATATGCTTCAGCTTATGGCCCCATTAATATAACTATTCTGTTTTTTTTTTTTTTTATGAGGTTGTAAGTAATCAAGTGATTACTGGCCAGTTATGATCTAAACCTCTAGAAACGCCTTAATCAAGCAAAATCAAAATTCTGGGCAAAACTATGAATTTACTTTTTGTGCATCTAAATGTGAATTTCTATTAATGTGCATAAATAGAAGGGCTTTGTTTACTAGTTTCTCATTTTAGGTATGAAGATGTGCAGTTAATGTTGAGGAAGGAAAATGTTCTTCTTCTTCTTCTTCTTCTTCTTTTTCTTCGTCATCGTCTTCGTCTTCTTCTCTCTCTCTCTCTCTCTCTCCACTTATACAGACATTTATATGTGTACCTATGAAGTAAAGGAATCAACTTCATATTTATACTCTGTATCTATCATAATATCACTTTAAAGCCATTTTTTTCTTGTCTGTTCAGTTCTAATTTTCAAAGTTAATGTTTCATCATTGTTCATTGATATTTAGAGAAAATAGAGGATTTGAAGCTAAAATTGATTCTATTTTGCACAAGATCTGTCTCTCTTCTTTGGAAGTCTTTATCTGAATATAGACTACCTATGGATTAATCTATGAGGTCATGAGTGAATTTTGGAATTATTTTCTATTTATTATGTTGGTCCAGACAAAGAATTTGACTGGTTGTCTTCCTTTGCTGGCATTGTTATGTACAAAATTGTAAGTGTGGTTGGTTAATCTGTATGATATTGATTGTTGGAGAAGAAATAAATAGATTTGTACTGGCTAGTATTATGGTTTGTCAATTACACAATGGATGAATGCAGATTCCCAATTTTGTGCTCTATTTTATGAAATGTATTTCTATTTCTTTCTTGACTTACAATGTTGAATCATGATTGATCATATCTATGACTGCAATGAGAGACTAATTAGTTGGGAGGAAGGAAAATAAAAAAAATTCAAATCTCCAAAGCAAAAACGAATAAAGCAGCATCTTGAACATATAAATATCAATTTAGATTGAAAATTCATTTCAGATATACTGTTTCATTGAAGGATTACTGATGAAAACCGCCCGACTACCTCTGCTATGTCATTCTTCACTTATTTTACCAATCAAATTCAAGTTGAAGAACCTATAAGAGTTATGAATTTTTTTATTAGCAATTCTCTATAACGTCGTGTGTTCAATTTTCTATGATACATATATATATATATATATATATGTTCAATGATTGCTTTGTGTTTGACAGACAATGGTCTTTCTCGGCATACAAAACTTGTGGATAGAAGCTGTTTGAGGATTTGTCAAAAAGACTAATACTTCATTGGCTCTAAGGTTTGACATAGATATAAATTTTGAGTGTGAGTGTTAATGTCAATTTGATATGTAACGCCCCAAAATAACCCAACACAAATTAGGTACATCAACCAACATCCATCAAAGAATAATAGCAATTCTCCAACCTTTACTTCATTAATTAATAAGGTTTGTACAAAAGCCCCACATGCGAATTATACATTCAATAATATAGAAATACATGAATCGATAGCATGTAGAACATCAAATCCCAAAAATAAATAAAATGCCCTTAAGGGCTTACATGTGCCAAGGCTTAAGCCCGGTTACACAAAAATAGTCCATCGTACCATACATGAATAGCTCTTGGCAAGCAAAATAAATCACAACAAAAA